TTCTAATTCCTTTGAAAATCGTTTTTTAGAAAATGAAACATTTTCGAGATACTGAAAATTCGTTGAATGAATCATAAAACCTTAAAAATACTGCGACTCATTTAAGATTGATTCTCCAAAAGTTAGAATTTAAAAAAATTTAGTGTATGTTCAATCATATTCAACAATAACAATGAAATCATATAATTGGGGCACTAAACAAAGAGTTTGAGAATTTCCATCATCTCGTACTAATCGATTTACGTAATGTAAAAGAAAACATTAATTTACAATCTTTATTTAGAATACGACATGACCAACAAAACAACGAACCTAAAAACAGAAAGGCGTGATAAATAACAGGGCAAAAATAATTACAAATGTATGATATGCCTCGGAATAATGATGAGATTTGCATGAAGAAGAAAAAATTAATGATATTTATTGTGATTGTGATCATCATGATCATTATGATAGAAATGGTAAATGGCCCTTACAAGATGCAGTTGCATAAGAATTTTAAAAATTCCTCAATAAATCAGAAACAGTTAATTCATAGCAATGTGATCTCGATCTTGAACTCAACACATGGCAAAATAAATTATTCAGCCGATATAAATACGATAAGCAAACAGAAAAATATAAAAACGTTTAAAAATGATACAATATGCTACAAATGATTGTACTGCTGTTACTAGATTATTTTTTCGTATGTATCCATCGAAAATAGACAACACCCATGTATTTGAAACCCTAACAATAACATCAACAAATATTACAAATAATTTTGATGATGATTTATCAGATATCAGTGAAGATGAATAAATACAAATACTATTACCAAAACTGAATAAACAAGAACAATTATTACCTTCACAAATTGATGAACAAACTGATTTAATAATACAAACAACACAAGAAGTAAATGAATAGAATTTAATTGAAGCACAGTCAGAACAACAACAAATATAAATATAAGCAACAATAAAAATATCAAAATCAGAAAAAGAACGACGAAAAAATTTGAAAATATAATGAAAACAAAAAAATCACCCCAATTTTCAACGTCGAATCAAACACCGAATTTATCATAAGTATGATTATCAAAAAATTCGGGTCGAACTCAAAGAAGATGACATTGATACAAGCTATCAAATAATAATCAACTGACACCAGGGTGAAATTCTAATTGACTTTAAATCTGCAAATGAACACGAAAAAGCATTAAAAAAAGTGTGGGTGTGGGTGCGGCTAAGGTGTGATGGTGCTTCTTGTCTCAACGACACTCACACCCTCACACCCGCAAGACTCGCACCCTTAAAAAAGGAGGTATATACTACTCACATCGTAATTATAATTGTAAAAACCCGAAAAACTCACAGCCAATAAAAATAGGGGATATATACTGTAGATATCATCACCATAATTCTAAAGACCCTCAAGATCCACCACTTTTTAGGGAAAGGGTGCTGTTTTTTTTTAAATTCAATTTGAAAGCAAGAGAGCCAGACTCCCGAATCGGTGCTGAAATCATGCAGTTGGTACCCTGTGGCACAAAGGAGAAAACCAGTATTTCCAATTTCTAAGCGAAAGCTGAAAGATATAGTAAATTCAATATCGTCATTTAATAAAGCACATCGAGGTCTACTTGGAACATCAGTGGAACCACTTTGAACACTTTCTGGATGAATCGGTGCTTGAATTACTTCCGAGATCGACCATGACCTATGCAAAAAAAACAGTAGTTTTTGAATTTTTTCGCAAAGGGTTTATGATATTATAAATCTGATTTAACCATTCGACAGAGCGCATCGAGTTCTACGTGGAACACGAGTGGAACAACTTGAAACCGTTTCTGGGCGAATCAGTGCTGGAATTACTCAAATCGAGTGTTAACTTCACCTATGTGAGCCGAAGCTCATCGGATACGAGCTAAGACCAACTTATGCAAACAGTTAGACAATACCAATATAAAAAAATGAACAAGAAGTCACAGAACGAAAGAATAATTCAATATATTCCAACGTTCGAATAAACTACATCTTTTTTCTTTCGTTCTATGACTTTTTGGGTTTTTTGTCATTGATATTTTCTAACTGTTTGAATAAGTTGCTTTTTGACTGATGACATGAACAGAGTTTACAAAACATCTCAAACAGGATTAAATTGATGTCTGTAATTCTATTAGTCATTGTGAAACATTATAATATTTTTATCTCATATATGAACAATGCCAGTAGTTCATTGTGTAATGTCGAATTTCCTCACGGTCATGACTTGTTCTATCGATCACACAGGAAATTTTTGGCTCAGCAGAGTCGATTGATAGAATTTCATTTTATAATTTGATAACAGATGATCAATACTGAGAATCTTCGTGAAACAGACGTGAAAATAGTACACAAGGTCATAGCGATTTCCGTAATCAGGAGTGAAATGAATGACACTTTTTCTGTTTGTTTGAACGTTGTCCAGCAATCTTGAGTAGCTAATCTGAAGGCAAATTTCAAGCACAACATGTTCAGATAAAATTTATGGAACAGAAGAAAGATGTTAAATGTTTTGATTCAATTGTAGCTAATGACTTCGCAAAGCAAAAGATGCTTCATCATGCTATTAACAAAATCAGAGTGTGAGGGTGAAGATAGTAACCTTTTGTTGATCTAATACCAAGTGGAAGCAATTAATATGTCGTTCTTATTCTCATTAGTGGAAAGACCAAATGTTTTTTCTAATGCTTCTGATTTGATGAGTTCGTTTGATTCGCACTAATATTGAAGAATAGGTGTTTTATGTGTCACATGGAACTTCACTTACCTAAGTCGGATAGAATCACTTAAATTGTGCGATAGTTTGACGTTACAGATTTTTATTTGTACATGTATCTTGAATTCTTCGAACTTTCTTTGAATAGTAGATTTCTCGATAGTAGATATTTCGCTATACTCTAGCATTTTTCTTGATAATTTTAATGCAAACACACGATATGCTTCAGCGCTTAGAATTAATCGACTAGTAGAAGCAAAAGTAATAACAAACATACAACAAAGATAAAAGAACAATAAAGAAAAACCTATGAGATGAACAAACAACAAAATAAAGAAATATTATTCACTTTTATTCAATAGAACGAGTATTACTTTATGTCTCATATGTAAATTCAGTAGCAAATAGAAGTGATCAGTATACATCTAAAATTCGTTTATTAAATTTCACTTTTACATATGCATACATGTTTCTAATCTTGAAAGAGGATCGATGAGATGCTATTGTAAGTATGTCATGATTTTTACCCTAGCTATAGCAATTGTTTCTGGTGTTTTTTTCCTTGTATCGATGGATCACGTAGTTGGACTTATCTCAAGCAGTGTATAAACGGAAAAAACTCATCTTCTTTTTCTATAGCAAGAATAAAAAAATAACATCATCATTCTAGTATACACCTAGTGTCTTTGCAACTACGGAAGTTTATCGTGAGATGAAAAAAATTGTCGATAACATCGACATTGATTGAGGAACACATGATTATATTGAATTGTTTTCTGAAAGTGTAGATAGTGGAAGTAGAAGAGATTAACAAAACAAGTATGTTGACAATAAAGCAAGATCATTTTCCCCATATACTTGCATCACTGTTGTCTTTGTTTTTCGTTCATAGACATATATGCATGGAGTGACACCAATGTGAAGATATAATGTGTATACAGATAAATACTGGGAAAAAAAGCAAGGCCACATTTCTTTCTTCCTGCTTGATCGCATCTCATCAAAAGCCTTTTGTTGCTATCTGTCTCTCGATTTTATAACGAGTTGGCAAGTTTAGATGAATAATAATACGTTAAAATCAATCTGATACTGTTCATTGGATTCCAGAAACGTTTTCTTTCTACATTTCAAGAATTAGTTCTCAAGGACTTCCATTCGTTTATCTGACGAGAACATGTAAAAGTTTCTCATGATACAAAAAAGAGATGAAAATGAAAATCTAAGATATGCGACGACGACGGTGTTCGACAAGCTTTTCACAAGTTTTCTTTGCTATGAAAATTTTTAGATTAAGCACTTGAAACAATAAAGTTAATGATTTGAAATTTCGAATTCTCAAAGATGAAACATCGATTTTAGCAAAGTTAGTAATCACAGGATTGCAATGACATATTTTACTTTTGGAGTACGAATTACAGCATTTAAACTGACTAGTTTGAAAAAATTCGCTGTGTACATCAATATTGTTGGTTTTGATTTCTTCTTATTAATCTTTTAGATGACAACTGAAAACTATCTATAAAATACCTCACATGTATTTTTCTTATTTTATAATAGGTGAAATTTCTTTAATGAGGCGAAAAATAAAACTTAACTGTAGTATTTGTTTACCTTATTCGTATAAAAAAATTCAAATAACTTTTCATCATTAACCAAAAAATCAGCTCATTCGGACGAACCAAATCGGATGTTTCATTTTTTATTATAGAGCTATTTATGGCCTATGCTGTAGTTCAAATCATTGAAAAATATCATTTCATCTAGACATGAATATCTAATAACAAGAATGTTCTTCATAATGGCCAGAACTAACAAACAGCTAAACACTTTTGTCTTTATCAGGTAACTAAATCTATTTATTGCATCATATTTACATATGGATCATATCGTTTCCTTGCTTCAAGCATGTTTTTTTTTATAAATTAACCAGAATTAAATTCCATTTAACCTATCAGACATTTGTCGATTTCAAACAACAAAGTAATTCCATGGAAAAAATTCAATTAACTGCTAAAGTATGTATTTTATCACTGCATCATCCGGGATCAATTTAATATCTCAACAGGACATAACTATATTGATCACGCGAAGTAATCTTTCTCTTACAAACTATAACAAAAAGAAATCATTCATCATACACACAATTATAATCTAAAGACTTGAACAAGAACGCAAATGAATACAAAAAGTACGGTTTTATCATTAGAAAAACAGAAACGTCAACGAGCAGGATTTCATAACAAAGAGCAAATCAATTATATAGGTACAGGTATTAATTCATTTCTTGAAGATTGTGTTGTATGATTTTGGGCTTTAACTTGTCGATGAATAACCATAAGTGTAAATAACAGTGGTAAATGTATCAGACTATAACGAAAAAGTTTTCTTGATGATTGTGCATCATGATTACGATAGAATTTATATGATAGATAAATTAAATAGAAATTAACTGGTAATGTATCAAAAGCAAATAGCCATGTTGTCATATCAATAAGTGGTGCAACAAATGAACATGAAAGAAATATCATAATTGAATAACGAAGTGATGTTATTAAACATAAACGTTCATGAGAAACACACATCATTTTATAACCAGCACGATCATATTCTCGTCGAATATTCCAACTTAAAGAATTAAAATGTGGAAATTGCCATGCATAAAGTAGAAAAGCCAATAAAAGAGCACCTAAAAAAACAAAAATATTTCTTTATCGTCTTTTATTCTCAATATTTCAGACACTTAACAACGAATTTAGAAAATGCGATGCTGAGCATTTAACTCTATACAACGGTCGATTTTGTCTCTTGACAAAGTTTATGTGTTGACTTAAAGTTGATAAGAGTAACATCTACTCAATTATACTACTGTAAATATCATAAAAATGAGAAAAGGGTCTGATAAAAAATTGCCAATTTTTTCGCACTCAGGAAACATTGTAATATGAAAGTATCTCAGCACTATATAACTTCCTTGATATCAATTCATTAACATCTCGTTCCTTTTGTGTAAAAAAGTTTTTAGAAATATCAGAACTCATGGAGGTCTCCTTCAAAAACTAGACAATACAATCTGGATAATGTATAATATTTCAACAATATTTTTTCAATGAAAATCAATTGCATTGATGATATATTTATTATCTCGTCATTTTATCTTAATTCAACCAAATGGTGATATTGTTTATTTGTTACGAATCGAAACATATATGATATTCTTTAAAAATTCCGATTTGTTAAATTTGTTGTTTTGTAACGATTAAGTTGAAATAACATAAGATCTCGTATACAAATTAGGGATAGTAGAAAGGTAATTATCCATAATCAATATTATTCACTATTNGCGCTTCGAATCCATTTTTTTGAATTGTTAGACTATAGCCTTGGCGACGAGAGTTGAAGTTGTGATCACGTTCGAAGATTTGACAGGAGAAACCGTTCTTTTGAAGTGCCAGTGCTGTGGCAAGACCACCGATACCACCACCAACAATGATGAAAGTATCTAGTGTTTGCATTTTCGTTATAATTCTAATTCAATGGTAACGAAGTCCTCGAAGTTGCAGAGTTGAAAACAGTAATCGTACACACTAAAATAAAATGTGTCGTATATATGTGTCGTACAAGAATGTGTCGCAGACTCCATTATAAAAATGAGTCGTACAAAAATGTGTCGCATTATAGATGTGTCATAGCCTATATGTCAATCGTTCATTCACCGTTTTGTTTCACGAGTGCAGCTGCATATAACCGAGCCTATTGGACGTGCTTGACTTATACATTTTCGTATGCCTTTTTTTTCTAGATTATTTCTCGACAATTTATTATTCGAGAACATGTCGAGAGGTCGCTAGATGATCGAGAATGGACTGCCTCGAAGTAGTCTGATCGAGATCAAATAGTCTCGAGACAGCTAGATCTTAAGATCTACCGTCTTGAACTCCAAGAATAGGTGCTACTATTTGAAATTAACTGAAAAAATAGTAACTATTCGAATTTTCAAAAAAAAAATAATCCTCATGCCGAAAAATGGATTCGAACCACGTGTTAAAAATGTGTCGTACATTGTGTCGCAAAGTACGACACATGCGACACATTTTATCTTAGTGTGTAAAGTATAAGTACTGCTACATATAACCAACTAATGTTTAATTCTGATGAAATATGGACAACTCACTCGATGAAGTTTATTATTGACTTATTATGATATTGAAATAATTCATTGATAGACTGTCATGATTATTCTTGGACATACATTTATTTGTCACCAATTATTCTTAAATTAAAGAAAAAAAAGGTTTCAAAAATGTTTGCACAAGCAGCAGATCATGATGTGTTTCTTGTCATAAAACTGTTCAGATAATGTTTTGCCTTTCTTGTATCAAATGTTACACATACGTGTTTTTCGCTGTTTTTTTTTCGTGCTGCTTGTGTTTTTAAAAGAAGCAGAAAAGAACATACTGATATGAGAATAATATGTGACAATATAATAATAACTATAAGTATTATTGCTAGAAGAAAAAACTGTTTATAAATGAAAGGCATCCTTTTAGAACATTACACTTGTACAGCTAATGTCAAAAAATTCACGGAGTAATTTCTTACATGGAAGAATGAAAATCATTTTTTGCAATCGATATGATGAAACTACAACAACACAATCCGCCATCACGATCGTGGTGGTAATTCAATTGGATATATTGCGCCAACCAATAAATAAGCTCGATTCTAAGCGTCACCTTTCTATCAACTAAAATAATTGCCACCACTTTTTAATCATAACTATTGAACACAAAAACGCCAGACATATCAGCCACAGAGAACTAGCATGTGGCAAATACTCCCGAGGCACTAAATGTCAACAGAACAAATTAATAATCTTATTTCCAGCAAAATCTAACTCATCATATAAGTATTCATGATGATTCTGTTCTTTCCGACGACATAACTTATACGTCAATCAATGCACAATTATGTCAGCTATCAAGTGAACATCACATTCTCTTTTCAAAAATGATTTACCCTTCCCGAAGCTTGATAAAACTGTCATAACCCTGTGAGTACTAGTGTTCTGAATAAGGGACACTTGTGTAAGTATCTTAATTTTTGAATAACGTACGAACGCGAAATGATATCGAAGCGCGTTTTATCTATGACATTGAAGAGATTTCAGTACATACATCTATATAAGAGTTATAACCCTAATGAGGTCACTTAAGCAACAAGCTAGATGGGTTTTTGGGATGCCACCTTTATTCTGAAAAAGAGAAGAGCAGATAGTTCCCTTTTGCGATTCCCAGAAGTCTCAGGTTTTCTGTGTTGGAATCAATTTAGCAGTGACTTCTAATGATATTCCAGTGGTAGATTTTGCGACAGATGTCACTCGAATTTTAATCCATACTCATACTGCCCCGCGGGATGACCAAAACACTACTTTGTCATCACCGTGGAGGAGTACGGACATGGGCCGAAAATGACTTTAAAGCTCTTTTAAAAGCTTTGATGAAAAACTAGGACTGCACTATGAGTTTCTTAGATATGAAAACTGATAGAAATTTCTCTCATATTCATTTATTTGCCACAGGAAGAATAAAACGTCGCTTCTCGCAGAACAATGTGGGCCACGTAATGATGACCCCATTCTCCGTCGACAAACGATCTAGAATACAGCAAAGTTGCTAAAACTGCAGAAAAAGTCATATAGACATATCAATTCTGGTCGAAAATCCTCTACAGCTACTTTACATTCATCTTCCTGAGGAAGAATGGTAAGCCAATCAATGCAGAATTATATGGGCTATCAAATGGCAACTTCATTCTCTAGCGGCAAACGAATACGTATGAACTACAGAGGATTTTCAGGGTGAATCCACATGTCTATATGGCTTTTTCGGCAGTTTCGGCAATTCAATGGTCCTGCAGATCGCTTGCTAAGAGAGAATGAGATTATCATTATATGGCGAATTTAAGTCTGCATTAATTGACGTGCGATTCCTTCTCCGGCAAACGAGTGCGTAAGAACTGTAAAGGATTTTCAACAGTTTTAGCAACTTTTAGACACTGCAGATCATTTAGTCGAGAGCATATGATGCGTTGTGAGAGTTTCCCCGAAAACTCAATTAGACATGAAGGGAGGAGATATGGAGATATAGAGATATTGGAGATATTGAGATATTGGAGATATTCATTAACTAGTGCAAATAATCTTTATGCAGTATTTGACTTTGAATAGCGATCCATTCAGATATATTGATTCAACTTACCGACCGTTGCTTGAAAAAATGAATCATAAAAAATAAATCACTGTTTACTATGTCTCCTGCATTTCTGTACCTCCTATATCTCTATATCTCCAATATCTCATATGCTAGCATTTAATGCAGTTTCCGGGGATACTTCCTGCACGCATCTAATCTAAATTTTCGTCTTTTTCATTTTGATTTGTAGAATTTTCATGATAATGATATTAATTGTGTTATTTATCGATCAAATGATCCAATAGATGACTTTAAAATTCGCTAAAAATTCAAAAAGATTCATCTTATTCACGTAATAATAATGGACAACGTATTGAAAAATTCGAAAATTGGCAGAACTGAAATGGGAACTAATATTAAATGGAACCAAAAATTCAGAATAAGTAATTTGCTAAGATTAGTCTCATTATCTGACTATTTGATTCATCGCTACCTGAGCGCTTGATTGATACTGTCGAAGTTCGATATTAGACGCAGTTATTAGGGACAAATTAATGAAAGAACTTTTTTTGTATTTTATCAGATAGCTACGTTCGAGTAGGCGTATAATAATCTATCAGTTTTTTCGTGTAGACAGAAATATTTTCTATGAAGACATAAGTTTGATAAAAAACATTTCTTTTTTGTCATGTGTATAAAGCATTGATTTATAAAAAAAAATAATGAAAACTTAAAATGCGTTCTTAATCGAAATATCAAGTTTTTATATGATAGTTTTGTGATTAAGATTTTCATTTGATTAGATTGAACTTCATAATTATTTTCCATCACCTTTTAACAGTGGCAATCAAATTTTTCTAAATATTTTTTCTACAATTGATCACATTTGTTTTATTGTCATAATAAACTGCAATCTATCATGAGGTTTTCACTAACATAAATATTATCATTATTGTCGTTCTTTTGTCATAGGAAATAATATGATTTGCATTTTCATTTCATGGTCATATTTTATTTTTTAGTTATAAATAACTGAATAATATCAGATAGCAATAAGAAGAACCTTGTCAATCTTCGTTTTATTATTCATGTCACCCATGAATTGTATTCATAAAATTAAGCATTCCTTATTGTTGTTGTTTTTCATCTTATCTTTGAAATAATCAAAATAAAAACTTTACTGATGAGAAACAACATTGTATAGTTTTGAACTAAGCTCCCCATTCATCATGGTACAATCACGAGTAAGACGCACGTTTAAATGTTTCTCTGATGGTCAAACATAAAAAGAACAAAAATAAACGTTTGTAAAAAACATATTATTTAAAGTGTTTACCTAATGTATTGAAGAGAAAAAAAATGAATGCATTGATAGACATCGCAAAAAAAAATACCTTTGCGTAAATGACAGCCCGTAATTTATATTGTTGTAAATATTTGTAATTATACACTTTTTACTTTATACTTGTGTATGCTATCATTATTGCCTCGAATATTTGTTGTTGTTATTACTCTGTGAAGTAACATAAACAGGTATACCGAATTAAATATTCGTCTTTTATCATCAGAAAGATAGAATGACCTTAGCAAAAGTTTGAACAATAGATTTATCAGTTTTATTCTTACATTTTCTGTATTTATTTTGTCGCTGTTTTAGGTTTTTTTTCCTTATCAATAGTTATGTGTGCTTCTAGCATGGTTGGTTTAGTATTTAAGAGTATAGATAAATATTCATCAGTATTATTGTTTTAAGAGAAAGTACTTGAAATTCTGTATATCTATTATCATCACCATATTGCTCACTTTCTACAAGTTAACACCGATTAAGTACGTAGATAACGAACAAGTACTTTAAAATAGTTTTATTCATTAATATAATATTTATCCTAAGCTGTATTTACTATCTTAGAAAGACTGTCTTTTTCAATCGTATCAATAGAACCTCAAATGTCTTAATGGCATAAACATGATTGGGCTACGTTGGATATCATTCTACCACTGATCGTTTCTGTCCTATCATCAGAAGGAAGAAAAATATAATAATCACCATCAGTGATCCTATTGTTGTGTGGATTTCCCTGAAGAGATCGTCGAGTATTGTTCTGTTACACGCGATCTCCTGATTGCGTTTCTAAACTGTCTAAGAGAACAATTACAATTCATTGATCAAAAATAAAGTTTCAAGACAAATACTGATAGACGAAATATTTGATTAAAATTGCAAATAAACAAGAATATCAAATAAGTCTAAGAATATGTGTATAGTTATGCATTGTAATGATCATTTCGAGAAAAAATTCCTGATCAGCATATCGAATTTCTCTATTACCACCATCTAGAAAATTCTAAAAGTTCATCATCTGTAAAACTATAAAAATTTCGTTTGTTAGCCGATAAACAATTTGTTGTAGTTCAATACAAGAATAAATAGTTCGTTATATCAATCGCTTGATCATTCTCAATAAGTTCATAGTGAAATCCGTCATCCGTTGATTATATTCATTAAAATTTATTTCATTATTTTGAAATATTACCAACTGATAAGATTAATAAATGATTCTTAACTGAAAAAGTATACTTTTGAAAAATAACTTATATAAATTTCATAGGACTATAGCGTCATCTATTCGTATTCCTTTTTCTTCGGGAAATTCTTCAACGATTGCATCAAACATTATAAAATTTAAATAAAGAAATAAAGAAAATATGCATTTAAAACAAATCCTTTACTCAAAGATATTTTTTTTTAAACAAAAGCTTTCTTTCATAAAAATATGAGACATATTTTCACGTAGACATGAATAAGTATTATATTTATGCAAACATAAAAATGTACTGCTTTATTGTATATTTCATTCTTACTAATATAAGAACAATAACAGATCGTTACTGTCAATGTAAAATATCACATTCAAAAAAGATAGATACTAGCGATATGCATCTTTTTCAATATAATCAATTGCATATGCATTTCTTATTTGTATTTTAATCATTTGACTGTTTCATTTTTAGAAAAATATGACATCATTTGCTAGTACATTTGGCTCGTCGGATGAAGGACAAAATTATTCAAGCAACATTGCCATGAATTCATCGAAAAATACAGATGATCATCAAGGATCGAATAATTTTTCAAGTGTAGATCTTGATCAGCAACAAATATTATCGAAAGAATATCATTCACCTTATGTTAGTCTTCATGACGCAGCAACATTCCAAACTGAGCCATCAGCAATGACTGGCATCGTAACAAACAATATTTCACGTAACCCACCATTTTCATCTCAGGAGCTTCTTTCTAGTAGGATAAAATATTTTGAAATTCTTCAAATTGATTGTTTATTTATTTTTTTCTAAGATCAAAGTTTTTCATCTAATACAATAAAAAATACATCTTCAATACCAACTGATCGACGTATATCCATTCCAGATATGTCGAGATTATCAGCATCATCAGCAGCAGCTGTTGCTGCTGTTGGACCAACTATTGACAAATTAAAACAATGGAGTCGTTCAACATATAAATGTACAAAACAATCAATTTATGAAAAATTAGGCAAAACAACACGTACAGTTGATGTTGAAGTTGATACTCAAATAGAGGTTTTAAAATAAAATAACAAAATTTTTCTAATTGTTTTATTCTTTTTTTTTCTCAGCAACTTAGAGAAACAAAACGTCGATATGAAAATATGCTTTCTTTAGCTCGCAGTTATGCGAATCATTTTTTAAATTTAATGCAAACACAAAGAGTTTTATGTAAGTTACAAGAAAGCGATTAAAAAAAGCGTTTTTGTTTTTATGAAACTAATTTGTTTTATTTTACATTAGGTGATCAATTTCTAGAATTAAAACAAAAATCATTTCTTCTTTGTGATGAATTTAGTTATAATGCTGAAACACAACGAGTATTAATACGAAATGGTGAAACATTATTAAATGCTTTACATTATTTTATATCAACATTGAATACACTTTGCACGAAAACAATTGAAGATACAATGACTACAATTCGACTTTATGAAACAGCAAGGTAAACATTTTCGAATAAACTTAATAAAAAAAAAAAGATTAGCTTTATATTTTGAAATTTTCTTTTTCGTTTTAGACTTGAGTATGACGCTTGTCGAACAGAAATAGAACTTTTATCACCGGGTTCACAAATGAATCAAAAACAAGATGAATTTCAAAAATATAAAGAAAAATATGAACAATTAAAATGTGATGTTAGTATTAAACTTAAATTTCTTGATGAAAATCAGGTTTGTTATAATTAAAGATGTTGTTTTTTTTTAATTATAAAATTTGCTATTTCTATAGACAAAGGTTATGAAAAAACAATTACTTCTCTTTCATAATGCTATTGCTGCTTATTTTTCTGGTAATAAAGAAGCACTTGATGCAACTATGAAACAATTTAATTTGAAAGTTCAATCGAATGATGATAATAATCAAGATACAAAGTCATTTTTAGAACAGTTAAATCACTAGTCTTCACAATATCTTCTTTTGTTTTCTTTTTCTATTCATATCAGGTGAATGGTAATTTTTTTCCTGTTTTTATCTTGTATCTATTATATTTCGTATATACATTTATCTTCCGTCGCATATTGGTCGTTTTTTTTTCTTTAATGTACATGTATTTCTATTGTTTTAGTCACAAATAGATATTTCTTTTTTCGGCGGTATTTGTTTTTTTTGTTTCTAATTACACATAATGTTTTCTTTTTCTGTTTATTTGTTGGTTTGATATTTAAAAAAGCAATAAAAGGGAATTAAAAAACAACAAAAAATAATTTTATTTGAAATCAATCATCTTTCTTTTTTATGTGTGTATATTTTTGAAAGATGATTTATGATTGCATTGTCATACCTGGAGGTGGTGTTGATTCAAATGGATCTCCATCAGCTTGGGTATGTGCACGACTTGATCGTGCACTTGAAATGGCTTCATTAACATCTTATTTTTTGGTTTTAAGTCGTGGTACGACACATCACCCACCTATACTTGATAAAAATTTATTTCCAATCGATGAAGCATCAGCTAGTGCTGCTTATTTAATTGAGCATGACATTCCTTCAAATAAAATTTTAATAGAAAATTGGTCATTAGATACAATTGGTAATGCTTATTTTGCTCGACAATGTATATTAGAACCCATGGAATTACATCGTTTAGCGATTATAACAAATGAATTTCATATGCCTCGAACAAGACTTATTTTCGATTGGGTTTTCTCATTATCGAATTCATCAGAAGATCGTTGTGAAAAATATAAAATTGATTATGTTACCGTTAGCAATCAAGACATGACTGATGAACAATTAGTAGCACGTATCGATAAGGAACGTATTGCTTGTGAAGATATCAAAATGAAAATGCAACAAATAACAGATCTTTGTAAAATGGCTCAATTTTTATTTGTTGAACATGGAGCCTATAAAGCAAAATGTCTTCATTCACGACGAAGTCAACTAGATCCTTTAACTGCATCAACATATTAACTTTTATCATAGTAAAGATATATAAGAGACATGTATACTCACACAAACATCAGAATTAAAAGATGAGAAATAAATAAAAATATTTAGTTTTACGAATAATGATCAAGAAAACGAATTGTATTAGTTTTTTTTTCCCTAATATTATTAATCTTTTTCTTCATAAAAATAATTCGATTTTTCATATCGATTATTCCGCGCATAAACATCAAGTAAAGCTATTCCAAAGTGGCTCAAGATTTTAATCAGCTGTACTAAATTAAAAAGAAAATATTCAACGAATCATTTCTTGAAAATTTTTTCATTAACCTTATCTAAATACGAATGCGATCAATATTTTAGTCTCAATCTATCCAAGTATGTTCAATTAAAAGCGGCAAAACTGTCATCGCTTTCAATGAAATATCTGCAAGCAATTATACTGATTATCACAGTATACAAAATAAGAGTTCCACTTCCTATATTTTATGTTCTTCGGATATTAGTTTGTATGACAGTTCATAGTTCAATTATTCGAAAGAATTGTAATATTGGATCAAGCTAACCGACCAGGTCGGGCCAATGCTGTTGATTTATGTGTTCATTTGGTCATCTCTTCACGAATAGTCATCCTCATGCACACCTCTTTGTTCTGTCTCTGATCATATGTTGTTTTTTCTATTATAATTACATTTTCCTCATTATGTGAAAAGGGGTTAATTTATTTTAAAATATTTCGATACATCTAGTACTTCTTTTGTAAGAAATATATTTGATGACTTACCTCTTTGTTGTAAGTCATCATTTTATCCAACAACTTGTTGTTATACTATTGTCATGAAAATATATTAAGTGTGTAACTAAAAATCGAATGATACATCATACTAAGGTTATAAAACTTTATGGACTTAAAAGACAGAAACATCAGTCAGCCTAGTTCACTCTGCAGATCGCGTCCAAAATATAGTGGCTTGTTGACGGCTCTGATTTTTATCAAACTTGTTTGAATGATAACTCATTTTTTCCCTATTTAACTGCATAATCAGCGATAATCTTTGTCATTGTATTCTTTCAAAATAAAAATTTCGATTAGTATTCATCTTAACTTCTAGAAAGACACACTTTTAAACACATTGTACAGCTATTTAATTTGATTCGTTTGTAACAAAGTATGAGGGCGGATAAGGCCATTGTCTCGCCCTAATAAAATCGAGATATTTTTAATGGAATAAAATTAGGAGTGAATCCTGATCATATCTTATAGATCAATGTTGGAATAGCTCGAAAAAAAATTTTGGAACTCGTGGTATCCCTAGGAGTGTCGAAAATTTTTTTTTCTTTGGATTCAAATTAAATATATGCTCAATAGTAGAGTTGAGTGCGCTGATTACGAATATCAGTATATTAAGTGTTCAAAGTCTTTTAATAAACGAAAAATTAATCGTTTTCCAGGTGATCACTTGGCATTATACCCACGTTTTTATCTCTGTATCTTCTCCGTTGATTGTTCTAACTTCATGAAAAGAGATTCGTAACAATTAAAAAACCTAATCTACTTACCTATAAAAGACCCTTGGAAGTATAATCGACTACAAAAGTGTGGATTACCGGTCAAAAACCTGCTTTTTTTCAATCTTTCACGAAAACTGAAAGTTTTGATATCTCCTGACAGAATACTTTAAAAAATGTGAAATTTGAACTGAATCCGTAATTTTGAATGCTCTATCTGATGGTTCACTAAAAATTCTTAACAAATTTGTGCGTCGGAGTTTTGGATGGTTTTCTATAAAACCTTTTCAGAAACTTAAGGGTTTGGATAGAAACCGAATTCATCATCGTGTTCAGCACATCAAATAACCTAATTTCAGCATTGTAAATCTTCTGAAAATATTGATACAACTATTCTTTTCACTACTGTATTCACTTCGATGGGGCTACTTCATCTATACTGTTAATTATAGAAACGTATGCCCCGGTTCAACGTATCCAAGATGTTTGATTTGTTACAGAGCTGTATACAAAAGTTATTTGATGTGCTGAACACGGTGGTGAACTCGGTTTTTATCTAAACTCTTAAGTTTCTGAAAAGGTTTTCTAGAAAACCGCAACGCACAATTTTTTAAGGACTTTGAGTGAACCATCAGATAGAGCATTCAAAATTACGGATTCAGTCCAAATTTCATATTGTTTGAAGTATTCTATCAGGGGATATCGAAACTCAGTTTTCGTGGAAGATGGAAAAAAAGCAGATTTTTCACCGGTAATCCCCACTTTTGTAGTCGATCATATTTCCAAGGGTCTTTTATAGGTCATATTGGAGTAGATTCGGTTTTTTTAATCGTTACGAATCTTTTTTTCATGAGGTTAGAACAATCAATGGAGAAGGTATAGAGACGAACAGCTGGATATAACGTCAAGTGATCAACTGAAAAATGATTGAGTTTTTTGTTTATTAAAAGACCTTGAACGCTTAATATACTGATATTCGTAATCAGCGCACTCGACTCTACCATTAAGCACATGTTTCATTTGAAGCCAAAGAAAAAAAATTTTCACACGGCTGGGGGTATCACGGGTCCCAAATTTTTTTTTTCGAGCTATTTCAACATTGCTCTATAAAGTATGATCAGGACTCACTCCTAATTCCATTCCATTAAAAAAATCTCGATTTTATTAGAGACGAGAAAATGGCCTTGTCCACCCTCATCCTTTTCGTTTAATATTTTTCACCTGTAGCCAGCTGTTTGAAATCTAACACTACTAAAACATTATAGCTATTGGAAAGGTTTGAAAAATATTCAAATTAAAAAATGTACACAGCTACTGAATGCTTGACTGAAATAGTTGATTCGTTTGTTTCATCATTTCTGCGCATTTTATGTCTTTATATAAATATTTAAAACAAACATTGTTTAAAAATGAATTGCAAAGTAGAAACTCTTAGAAGAAACCATTAACTAATATATTAAATAATTAATAAGAATTTATCACAATTGAACATTTTTGTCTTGACTGCTGAACGTGAACATTTATTTTATTTTCAACTTTTTAAATCGTTAATATTTAATTTCAATCATTTTTATTTAGTCTAAACAAACAATTAGGCGATGCTCTTTATTTCTTACTCATCTGCATATTTTCAAATTTTGTCATCCCTTATTCGAAAATAATCTGTGGAAATTAAAAAAAAGACGAATCTCATTAACTACAATAGGTTATTAACTATTGCTGACAATCTGTAACTAGGTAGTGTTTGAGATTGCGTATTTAATAATGACATATATATAAGCATAATCTAATTCGCTTACATAAAGAAATCAGCAAAGTAAATATATTAGCATTAAACGTTAAATATCAGATATTATGTCAAACTTTTTTCGAAGTATATGCATGTGTTAAGTTTTTAAAGTTGCTTTATAAAAAAAAATGACATCTCTTTTCCGCATGCTTCAATAATTTTATTATAGCAAAGATATGTATATTAAATGAATACATAAGAGACAAACACACCCACACAAACATCAGAATTAAACGAGTAAAAAGAAATAAAAATATTTATTTAGTTTTGCGAATAATATCAAGAAGACGACTTGCATTAGCTTTTTCATTATTATTAATCTTTTTCTTCATGAATATAATTCGATTTTTCATATCGATTATTTGTTCATCAACATCCAGTAATGCTGCTCGAAGTGGTTCAAGATTTTGATCGGTTGTACTAAATTAAAAAGAAAACATTCAACGAATCCTTTGTTGACAACTTTTGTATTAAGTTTTTTTCAAAATAGAAATGCGATCAACATTTTAGTTACACCCGAGACGGTCACAAATATATTTGAAAAGACAAAATCAGATTTTCAGCAACCCTTGTTCACATAAAAGGAATAGATCAACAGATCCGCTCATATGAAAGAAGTTGGATGGTCGATACTAGCTCAAGAGGGAACCTGTTCAGTTGTTCCCTTCCCATTTCAATAGTTTTTTTTTGTGTATAGATACTAGATAATATTCTAAAAAAAAGGTTTCAATTCGTACTGATATTTGACTAAGCTATCGAATTTTTAATATGTCTATTTTCTAGAGACCCCAGGTTTTCGATCTAAACGTTTGCGCATATAGAGAACACGACTAGACTAGCTTTCATAAAACGCATATTGTATACAGTATCCATGGAATAGAATCTATATCTTGAAAGTCTCATATCTTCAAGAGATATTGTTCAAAACTTGTGAATTTTTATGAAAGCTAGTCTAGTTTAGCTCTCCTTGTGCACAAAGTTTCCGATCAAAATAAAAAATACGAGTTTTCCGAAGAGCTGAAAACTCTAGAAAATAGACAAATTAAAAACTCGATAGCTTAATGAAATATCAGTATGAATCCAGATCATTTAAGGATTTTTATTAGAACACTATGTAGTATGTATAGGCAAAAAAAATCATCGAAATCGGAAGGAGGAGACAGCTGAAGAGGTTCTTTTGTGAGCTAGCCGATATGAATCTTTGTCACGCACTTATTCGATACTTAAGACAACTCTACCATATTTAATACTTTAATCTTATAAGAATAATGATTTTGTCTTTTTGTTTTGAACTTACAATTTTTCTTTTCTTAATTCAATAACTGTTCTCTTGTATTCGTCACTGTAATGTTGCATTTCTTTTGCCATCATTTCATAATCTTCTTGAAGATATTCAAGTATTTTACCCAATGGTACGACACTAACAAAATAAAAGAGAAGAAATGTTTTTGTTCTATAAAAATTTTATTATCAAAAATGAACCTTTTTGTAAGCGATTGAATTGTTTCGCGAAGTTTATCAACATCTTTTTGGATTTTTTCACGCTCTCGTCGACGTTGAGCATCATTTTGTGCAAATGTTTTCTAATAAGAAAATAATTACAATTTATTTTATTTGACAAAATATTTACCACCTCAGAACGTTGTCCAGCTATTTCACTTCCATGTTCTAATTGTTTTTTTGAATCAATCATTTTTTTAACAAGTGCACCATGTTGAGCACTTTCATCATCATCTTGATCGCCAATACCTCCACCTCGATTATCCAAATCATCTTGTCTCTATTGAAAAAAATGGTTTTAATTATGAACAAAAAAAACTCAATTTAATATTTACAAGTGATTTTGTTAATGAAGGTTTTTCTTCTTGTATCAAGAAGTTGTCATCTTCGTCATCATTGTCATTATTTATATCATTATCACGAGAACCTTTACTTTCAACAATTAAAGTTCCTTGACCACGTTGTGCAGCACTAGGCACTCTTTTCAACAAAAAAGAAGTGAATAAAAGAAATACATGGAGCACTACAAAACTTTTCTCGCCAGTCCTTTGGAAAAATATTCAAAGACTGATTCTAGTATTGTTTTTCAAAGTACTATCCCTCATCCACAATGCAGTGGTGCATTCGATTAAAATAGATCATGGAAATAGACTTTGAAATCATTTTCTTTTTGACAGGTCATTAATACCTGCTTAAATCATGTATAACATTCGATTGTCATCGTTGAGTCCAATTTTGTGTAGTTGATATTTCAGTTTTAGTAGCAGAAAGGATTCATATGGGTTTTTATCTGCAGAATATGCTTGATCAACATATACTTTCGCATAGTTTTGTGCGCCATTCCCTTGACAGCCGAAAATGTTCATGATACCGTGTTTTCATAGTGAAAAATGAGATCTTGAAGACCAATCTTTTATTTCTCTTCTGATGCGGTTTGAAAACTTATGTTCGGACAGTTTGTTGATAGGCTAACTTCTTTCTACTAGATCTCAATAACATGGGCTTCATTAGACTACATTCTGTAGAGACAAAAATGCGATGCACTTGTCTCAATTTTTGTTTCGATGAGCTTTGACTGCACTTAGGTTATTTTTGTAACAGTCAAACATTCGACTAGACTTCGTATTCTCTATTCTAATGATATAACTATGATCGATCACAAGTGATAAAGTCGAATACAAGATCGAAATTAATCTATCCAAAACTCATCAATACATGACGAGACAATTGAACATGAAGCTACTTTCAATATTATGCTTCGAATGTGTTCTATTAATTTGTATGTCCAGTGAGAACTATTTTCAATTATCACTTGGACATTTTCAATTGTACCTACGTATGTAAACAGCAGCTGAAGAACTATTTGAACGGACAACATGAATTTTTTCGATTAAAATTCATGAAGCATATTGCGAACTATCCGATCAAAAACTTTTAGATCTCAATATGTCTATAGTAAAAGAGTCATGACTTTTCGTGTTCGTTGAATCAATTTTCTGTTTATATAAAATCACAGTTCAAAATCATTTTTGTGAATTATTTAAAAAATGACGTGTGACTGATATGAAAGAATAAGATGTTGTACAAAGCGTAGAGATCTGAAATTCTGTACGTAATCCTAAATATATCTACACATTATAGCAGAATGCTTGACTTCAATAGATAGCTTGTAAAAGAAACCGAAAGAAAAAAATTTTGTAGCGCTGTATATAGAAAAAACGAATTTACCTTCCTGACGATCCCGCTATTTCATCAGATGCTGTTACTTTCATTGGCTTACGAATTTTAGCTGCAGTATTAGCAGTACCTGGTCGAACTAAAGGTCTTCTAGAAAACGAAGAAAAGTATTAGTTGAAATAACGTTAAATCTAATATACTCGTCGGTATTATCTCGATCAGTAGATGTTGGTGTTGGTTGTGCTGGAGGTTGTCTTGATGAGGAATCATCTGAATAGAAAAATGAAAATTTATTCAAAGAAAGAAAAAAAGACAATCTTTTTATTCAAACGTTTAGGAGATGTTGGTCGTTGTTGACTACCATTATTTTGTTGTTTTCGCGGACCTTTAGCTGATGATGGTCGTGTTGATCGACGACTTTTTGAATCATCATCATCCTAAATGATATTCTCTTATTCAAAATTAATTGGAAAATTTGTTTTTTTTATAACTTTTTTATCATTGTCATCATCATCGTCTTGTTTTTGTGCAGCTGCTAATTTTTTCTCATCATTAGCATTATCATCACTGGGTCGAGAACTTCGTCGTTTTTTTGCATGACTACTTCCATCTGCATCGTTTTGATCCTAATGAGACAAAAAAAAAAAGAATAATGTCATTTGTTAAAAACGATATTTTCATTTTCTTTTTTTACTTTCGTTGAATCTCTTGAACTTGTCTTTTTTTCTGATGTCGATTCTTCACGTTCATGTGATTTACTTGAACGTTCTTCTTTTAATTTATGTCTCTCTGATTGTTCTTGATCTTTACGATCGCGACTACGTGGTGCTTCTTCATTTTCATTTGTTTCACCTAGACTTTGTAAAGTTTTTCGAACAACTTCATTATTATCAACATTGGAATTAATTGCTTCAGCAAGAGCTTGTAATAAAAGATTTGTTTTATCTGCTTCTTGGCCAGCTAAAATTTTAGAAACACGTACATCAGGTGGTCTTTTAACGGCTATATCTAAATCAGTAATCAAAACATTTCTTTTCGATATTATTTTCAATTAATTTTGTACTTACAAACAGCAGTAACAAGTTTTTTCATGAATAAAGTTTTATTGTCTCGACTTTCTTTAAGATAGGCTGATGAAAGTTCTTCATCTGAATATAATCCTTGAAGAAAATTTGTTTTTTTCACAACCTAAATAATTTTTATTTATAGAAAATAAAAAAGAAAAAAATTATAGAAATTATTAACATACTGCTTTAACAATGTCTTGCAGAAATTGCACTGGTGGCCGATTGAGAAGTTTATCGGTCAATGCTGGTGCATTAATTATTTGACCAAGAGTGTCTTGAGTTCGTTTGATAATATCTGAATCAGCAGCAGCTTCACTCATTCTTTATTTAATGTAGAATATTTGAACTGAAACGTTCAAATTTTTCACCATGAAATGATTGCATTCCTCAATTCGTTGCTTAGTAACTAATATTAATTCAGTGTTGTCTAAGAAGAATCAGATGTCACCACAAACCATTTATTGTTTTATGTTTAAAAAAAATTGCATGTGAAATAATCATTTTAGATGAAATAAATCTGATTTCAACTCTTCACTTCTGGATTCTATTGGGAAAAAAAAAACAATGAGAAGTAAGGCCTAAAAAACTTGAACATAATTAGATTAAGCCATTTCATCAGCAACAAAATTAACTTTATGCCGATGTATCGATAAATATAAATATCCATCATATTTTCTCTATTGAACCTTGTTTCTAACATTGTATTCTTTGATTTTTAGAAGAAAAAAAAATTTTTTAATTGATAATCTGAAGGTAGGTTTTAGTCTAGAAAAGATTTGAGTGGGATATGAAAATAAATAATCTTAACAATCAAATAATTTATATTTTACTAGGATACATTAGAGTTTCTCCCACGACACTTACGATGAAACTATCTCAAGTAACATCCGCTGTTTGAATTTATACTGGACTCATAGGTATGTCTCAGTGAAACTAGCAAAATAGTAAAAGGATTCGTTCCCATTGACCTTAGATAACAAGTTATGACCGATTAATGGATTTTTTAGCCATTTTTAGATACTCCCTGGAAGATTGAATAACGAAGTTTTGATTCAGAAGTTTGTCTATAGATAAGTCTAATGATTCCTAGAACATCACGTAAGTTTCAATCGGAAAGAATGTCCCTCCATCGAATCATTGAATTTTCAAGTGAACTCAATTCTTGTGTCACAGGACTAGTTTTGAAAATTCAATGTCTTGATGGAGAAACATTCTTTTCGACTGAGACTTTCATGATATTCTAAGAGTCGTTAGATCTACCAATAAGCAATATTCTAGATCGAAATTTTGTCATTTGGTTTTTCGAGAAATACCTACAAGTGAATCGAAAATTCAGTAAACCGATCTTAAGTCGACGACAAAAGTCCATAATGACGAACATTTTTAAACTTTTTTGCTACCCTCATTGACATCTGCCTGTGGGTTGAATATGAGTTCAAACAGCAATTGTCAGTTGACGCAGTTCCCTCATTAGTAGAAAAAACAGATCTTTTGTCGAAAAGAATTAATATGAATTTTCAGATACATTTAGATTTTCTTTTTGAAATCGAAATTTTTGTCATTGTTTTATTTTGAATAGTTTAAGTTTTATTTGATTCTATTTACTTATGAAGTATTTTTGAATGAATTATCAATTAACAGGAGTAATCATCAATGATCTTATTGTGCTTATCGCTGTCACTTATCAGAGACTTGACTAACCATTGGAATCGTCCTTAAACAAGTGAAGCTGATTTAGCTTGACGGATCCATTGATTTTAAGGTTTCAATTATTCTATGCAAACATTTATTAGTTGATCTCTAAAAATCGTCGTTAGTACTTCTCTTTGCGAGATGATAGCAGTCACCGGTTTGCCGAACTATTGAGTCTGTCAGTGATGTCTTTGAAACATAAGTTCAAACATTTATTTGGAAATTCCATGCAATTATTCTCGTTAAAGCTAATTGCAATATTCTCGACCGGTTTCATAATTTGCATTAATACTTAATTTGACATATTACTAGTTGATTTAGAAAATTTTGCAAAAGTAACTCCAGAGTAAATTCATTCCCTAGTCATAAATTCATTTTGCATCTGCTTGATATGCACAAACCTTAAAATGTGTCCATGCCACATAACTTTTTTTCATAAACAGATGTTTGAGTGCTTGCATGAGTTATGCATATGTTTTAGGCAACTCCTGTGCAGACTTCATGAAAATCATGTCAATAGGCACACTTAAAACGATCAATTGGAATAAAATAATCATATCTTTTTTGCTCAAGATAAAATAATATTTCTTGCCTTTAAAGATGTCTGAATCTAATAACGTATGAAGATTCTTTTTTTGTTTGACTTATTACAGTCTTTATTATTTAAATTATGATTTTCTATTAAGCATGGAATTATTTTAAACGTAAAACTGAAAAAACCAAAAAATTGTTGCAAGTCATAAGAAATTTCAACTGACAAATTCCAGTTTCGACCATCATTAAGTTTCACAATTTTCGTTTTATATTTTTTTTCTGAACCGGTAGTTCTCGTGCATTGTCTAATATACTGAATCAATTATTTCTCACTGTGATCTGGTTTGCACTATGAAATTCAGTGGGAAATGAAAAAATACCGTTGGTCGAAATTTAGTTCAAAATTACTTCAATTCCGAGAGAGATGATTTATATTTAATCCACAAATTCTGCGGTATCTCAACTTAATTAATGACAGATATCATAGTGATACCCAAGAACTATAGATAATTATGAGAGATGTTGGCTGCATCTTTGTTTCTCGTTCCAGAAAACAAATAAAAGTTTAGTTCCGTCTCAGTGAGCAGATTTCAGGGCTGCTTTCTATAAAAAAGACTACCAAAAAGAGCTCTCGCGTCTCTTAGAGGGATGTGTGTGAAACTAATTATAAAACAATACATTATTACTTTATAATGAATAGCAAGCATATTCCTGTATCGATTAATAATTTGTGACAATTGTTCCAAAAAAAATCCTAGTAGTAATCTTTTTATTGGTGCTTCCTTATGCACTAACAACATTAGATAGTTGGTAGCTACTGATATTTACATCGAGGAAACGGTTAAAACATTAGAAAAAACTTCTCTATGTTTAAACAAAAAAACACTAACGCTTGGACAAAATTCAAATGCATAAGAAAGAATATGAAACGATGAAATAAGATTTTCAAGTGCTTATAGTCGCCAAAAGATCCTAAGTCCTGCTTCAAAATGTGTCCATATCACACGATTTTGTTTACACAGACAAGTACTCGTATGTTTGCATCAGTTATGTATACATTTATAGCAGCTCATACGCTGAACTTATAAAAATCATACGAATAAGCATATTTGAAAGAACCAATTGGAATAAAATACTAAAAGCTTTTACATTGATGATGAAAGAATATTTCGTGCCATTGAAGATATCTTAATCTACTTACTCATGTAGAATAACTTGTTTTGGTCTGCCTATTACAGACTTTATTATTAAAGCTGTGAATTTTTATTATGAATCGAATCATTTTGAATGTAAAATTGAAGAAAAAAAACGAAAAAACACGTATAAAATATAATTAAAATTAGTTTCACGTATCACAGATATCGTTTTCATAGTTGTGAAAGATGACCGGATCTAATGGAGTATTACTCTCGCTAGGTTGCAATGGGGGCGGATTTTTGTTTTTAATCCGTGCAACTCGTTATGCTTTTCATAAAGTATTTCGTTCATGAACATCCTTAAACATGCTTGAATAAGAATGTTACGCGATACAACAAGAAGTTCAAGCACCTAAGCTTGCTAAAATGTCTCAGGTCTTGTCTCAACATGTACTCATATTACATGACTTTCTTTGCTCAAGATACTCAAAACCTTTGTGAGCATGAAAAAAAGTTCGCCTAGCGAGATTCGAATTAATGCTGATCAATCTGAATGATACTTTTTGAAATATTTTCTTTTTGTGAAATCATATTGAATCGATAACGAAGAAATTCTTTAAATTTACTGAAATCATTCGTAGATTAGTCTGAAAATATTTACTGAAAAGTATAAACATATTTTGATTTTCAAATTTTGTTTGTAGATGCTTCAATAGTTAATAACAACAGACTATTTCAATACTCTTTTCTTCTTCTTAGATTTATCTCATGAAAAAGAGATTTGTCTTTAAAATAATCTGCATATTATTTTTCTATTAAAATATCATATTTCTGATGAATTATATCAGAGGCCGGAAAAAATAATTAATTGACTGACTTTTTCTTAATACGATTAACATAGATACTTTAAAAATAATTTTCTTTCTAATATTAAATCGATAACTTCGTCTTTAGAATAATATTGTTATCAAATATCAAAGTAGTTGTATTATTAATCATTAATTAATATTTAAAAAAAGAATTTCTTAAATAGCTAAAAGTCAAAAGATAATCAAATGCTATTTATTATTTTACTCATACAATTGAAAACAAAAATTATTAACCGGATATGAACGAATATTACCTAAGGATTGTTAAAACTATATGACTGAAATTTAAAAAAAACATTCTATTACCACAGCATAATACCTTCAAGCAATACTCTTTATATGACCGGAAAAAGAATGATGATATGTATAGAAATGTGTAATCATGCTAAAAGAAAAACTCATTTATCAATTTAAAAAAAAACAATTTTGATAAAAATTCGACTGAATGAAATATTAATCTATCTATTTATCTCTAATTTGATATTTGACCTTTTTCATGTTTTTTCTACCTTCACATATGTCTCTTTTGTTTTTTATTTAGCATCATCAACTAAGGTAGTGTTGACATGTGCATATATGTATCGATTCAATGAACAGAACAGCAGTTTGATAAATTGATGTTTACCTTATATATATATATTGAAACTCTGTATTCGCATATCGTTCCTGAATGTCTAATTGTTAGAACATGTTTAAATTATCGTCTTGAAATGATAAACGAAGATGATTTTTTTTTTCGATTTCCATTTTGTATATATAGGAAATGATTCGCAACTGACAGTCGTTATCAGTCAGACAGGCTGATTATAAGACTAGTATATCATATCTAAGTTCATTTCTAAGTTTAATGATCGATGACGAAATATAAAAAACAAAAAAAAAGAAAAAGAAAAAGAAAAAGAAAAGAATTATTTTCTTTCTATTTAATTGTGACAATGATCATTTAATCTAAGTATAAAAGAAATAATACTTGAGCTTTTGATCAAACAATCTCTGATGGGTGTCGAATCCGGTGCGAAAAGGTTGTCCTCCCTTCTTCTTCGTTATATTTGCTTTTTCTGCGTAAGTGAGTGGCTATGTGTATATGTA